CTGGGCTCAGCGTTCAGCCCTGCGGACTGGAGCAGTGGATCACAGTGATTGCTCCCACCTCCTTCCCTCTGGAGGAAGCAGCTCCTATTGCAGCCACATACGGGAACCAGCCAGTCATTTCGAGCTTTGGCAGCTGGTGTGCTGCTTGGTGGCCTCTGCTCCACACAGGAGATACTTCTTGTAACAAAGGGGCAGGCAAGTTCATGCAAAAAGGTGTGACTGATAGAATATCCTAGGCCTGGGATCCAAATACCTGGATGGTGACATTTAAATGTTGTGTTGTTCGCTGATACTTAAGTATTGAAGTAGTTCTTACTGAGCTATCACAGCTGTTTTCTCCAAGGTCTCTCAGACTAAACAGGGCGAACACATAAGATATTTAATTTGCACAAGTAATTTCCAACTAATGTTCTTTTTGAGGTGCTTGTCTCACTATTTAACAATAGGTTAGATCTTATGGTTGATGTTGTTTTATAGGGCAGATGCTTGCCTAATGGACTGTCCACTAGAGGCTGGGAAGCAGTTAGCTGAATCACAGCCCTGCTGAAGAGGATGGGACTTACAGTGGCTGCCAAGTTGAATGTGGGCCAGGAGAGTGTTCTCTCTGCAAATAAGTCAGCCTGCAGTCTGAGCTCCATCAGGAAATACGTGGCCAGTGGATGGAGAGATGCACTTATCCAGCAGTACCGACACTGCTGAGCAGGGCATCTAATATTGCTGCCCAGCTTTGGGCTTCTTGCTCAACAAGGATATTGAAAAACTGTAGAGACTCCAGTCATGGGCTCCTAAGTTCTCTGCAGAGCTCAAGGCCTGCCCTCTGGAAAGACAGTGGAAGGAGCTGGATTTAGTCTGTGGGGTGAACTAATAAGAGCCAAGTATTATGTGCAAGACAGTCACAAAGATGGAGCCAAACATCTCCTGATAGCTGCAGGAGATGGGGTAGGGGCAATGGCCACAAATTCCAATTTGGGGGCTCCAGGCTATGCAGGAGGACAGGCCTGGTTTACTCTGAGGGCAGTGCACTGGGCAGCCCAGAGAGGCCATGTATTTTCCACCCTTTGCAGGTTTTCAAGCATCTCTAGACAAAGCCCCAGCTGACCTGAGCACAGGTGCCAGTCCTGCTGTAAGCGGGAGGATGGACTCCATGTCCAGAAGCAAATCTCTATGATTCTGCAGCCTACAGAGACACAGAGAATCCGCAGAACCCAAGGCAGGAAAAGCCCAGTGCCATGCAGAGGACAGCCTTTTTGAAGAGCATCCCTTTTTGCCTTCAGGAATTGTTCTCTCCAATGCAGTACTCCCAGGCTGGGTGGGAGGCCCCACAGCATCACAGGTGCTCTGGCAGCAGCAGGAAGCACATAACAGAGAAGACAAAGTGTGCAGCATGTGGAGGTGCCAGGCTTTGGGTACACAGCTCTGCTGCTCACAACCTGCATATGATACTCACCTCTGGTAGCTCAACTTTTCTGAGTCTTGTTTCTCAGCAAACCCCAAGTGTCTAAGCAAACCCCAAATGTCAGCAAACCCCAAATGTCACTTCTTTCAGAAAAAGATATTACAAGTAAATACCTCCTTCAAGACTCACTAATTTCTTTCCCCCATCTCTATGTCTTGCCCATAGTTTTGATTTTAGTAACTTCTAGGACCAAAAGTACTCAGTAGATCAAAGATTGTCTACTAAACCAGAAGAGATAACAAAAACTTGCTCTAAAGTAACACTTGCATATCAAGTCACCCACAAGTAATTGTATTTCTAGGTTTTTTACACTTGCCTTTGTTTTTTGCTATTGATGTTGACAATATGTTAAACATTGAGCATCTTTTTTAAGCTACAGCTAAGTTTACATAGCAACCAACATAGCTGAATCCTCCTGCCACTCCCAGTACTGGCAGAAAGACAAACTAAGGCAAGAGTCACATCCAGAGTAATTGCTGGCCAAGTCCTGATTTCAGCCAGTTCCCTGTAAGAGCTGGCTCTGGAGAGGCCTTCTGTGCTGGAGGAGATGGCTGGTGCCTAACAAAGCACCAGGGATGAGGATGTGTGTGAGAGAGGCGCTGCTCTAACTTCACCACAGCCAGGCTGCTACACACACGAGTTACAAAGCGCTCTTCTGAGTTTCCCCGTGCTCCTCAGCAGCTTTTTCTGACACCCTGGGGCTTTCCCCATCCTCCACAGTGCTTTGGGCCAAGTTGTTTCCAGCTCTTCATACTCCTCCCTTGCTAGTTCACAAATACAGTGTGTGCACGCTTCCTTGCTTGGGAAAGCCCAGCCCCTGGCAGCTAACATCTGCAGAAGTCAAAGTATTTCACGTCTCTGCAACTCCGTTTGAGTTCTTGTGGCTTTGCCTGAGTTGCCCTGTTAGAAAGCACTGGCCTAGTTTTTCAAAAGGTCATGGACAAGGAAACTTCCTAATCTTAAAATATGACTTCACCTATTTCTATTAAAAGCAGTGCTTGGACTGTTGCAAGGAAAAAAAAAATAAATTAGTGGCTTACATCATGAGTAAGAATTTTTCTTTCAATGCAAGTGGCTTGGACTGCACAGGATGTAGCCAGAAGACTGATTTAATTCATTCCACTATCAGAAAAAGTGGGCACAATGTCTAAAAATCTCTTGGCTGCTGACTGTCCTGCAGTAGGCACAGAAAGGAGCTCGTGTACAGGTGCCACTTACACTGAGCTCCGACACACAGGTGGCAGCACTGCCGAGTACTCCCGGTGCAGCAGAGGAAGCAGCCCGGCACACTGGGAAGCCCAGCTCCCGACAGCAGAGCCGGGTGTGGGGACAGGGATCTCATAAGCCGCCCCTGATGTCCCACAGCTGAGCCTGTTTACAAAGTCCTCTCACGCAGGACACCTCCCCTCGCCAAGCCCGTGGCGTGTCGGAGAAGCACCTCCTTGTACACAGTGAGTATCCTAGCGACTGTTACTAGCAAAGGCAGAAATACAGCTGGAATTTGTTTGGTCGTTAACCGGGCGCTTCCTCCCGGGACAGACACCGCAGCCCTGCCTGGAGCCTGCAGCTCAGCGCGCACGGCGCCCTCGGGCAAGGCGGGGCGGCCAGAGCCCGCTCAAGGATGGATGGGACGGCAGCAGCTGCGTCAGACAGGGCTGCAAGGACAGCACCACCAGCAGCACCGGCACTGCTGCCAACAGCTGCACAGGCACCATGTGCCATGGTCCCACTGTCACAGAGCTAAGCCCGAAGCTATCCAGGTTTGTACTCTCCTAGGAAAAATACCCATCTCAGGTAGGAAAAGGCAAAACCAGTTTGCACTCCAAAAGGAAAAGCACCCCGAAACACGAGCCCAGACCCCAGTGCTGTATGCCACTATCTGTGCTGCTCTAATCCAAGTACTTTCCTGCATGTAAACAAACCCTTGTAAGCCGCAAGAAATCACTGAACATGACAGATGGCTCAGCCTCTCGTTTTGGCAACGTACAGCTGTGCCCTCCTCACCTTTCTACAGCCACCAGCTGTATTGTCCCTTTTAAATGCAAACTGTGGGTTTACTGTTAGTTACTCTTTAGGCAACTGCTTCTCTATAAAAGCCATTTTCACATGGCAAAATAAATCCCTACTCTAGGAATGTTCAGAGCTACGTTGAGTGTGTGGGCGGGCCCAGGCTGAACACACAGCTCCATGCAAGCGCTGCTCTCCACTCAACTGTGACAAATCGCGAGCAGGACCTACGTGGACTTTTCCACCCCCTCTCTGAGCTACACGTGTCCCAGGTAGAGCATGTGCTGAAGCTTTTTTGAATTCTGTTTCTCAGATAGTGCTGAACTTACCAAAACAGCTTTTGTTGGAGAGGAGTATTTTTAATAGCAACATGATACTGCTTTTTGAGCGTGAGTTGAAGCACCTCACGTGTGGCTGTTTTGTTGGGTTTTTTTAAACACCATACAGCAAAGAAACTGAAAATAAAACATCCCAGACTTTTGAATTGAAATACAGGCTTTACAACCACATAGTAAGTGTAGGCTCTTATATTTTAGTTTAAGACTATATCATTTTATAGAGTACCAAAATAAGCAAAGGGTCAGCACTCCATACAAAGTGTTAGTTCCTGTGAGGAGGGTAGAAGGGAAATGGACTTTAATTACACTAAACTTTTTTCCGCAAGTCTAAAGAAAATTCCATTTCAGCAAAACATATTTGGGTTTCAACTCCCCAAATTTCATTAAATGTTTCTTTTAAGACAATTTACATTTTTCCCATTCAAAGTAAAGGGATGATTTAAAGCACTATTAACAAGGAGGTGGTGCTGTTCATGTTTAATGTCAATATGCAATGGCATCTGCTATAAAGGCTAGAAGAGCAACACAAGCTTATCTTTACTTCTGAAGACTACTAGGAATTGACTAACACTGGAGAAAGGTTTCAAGCACAGCACACGACTCTAGCTCTAGGCTGCTGCCAGGAAGCCTCTGCTAGTCCATACACTGCCACGGGGACTGCCAGCACACTCCAGGGCCCTGATGGCAGCAGTGGCACGTGTTCTCACGTGTGTACCCCGTGTCCCTCTTACAATGGATACATCTTTTCCTTGTCTTATGGCATTAGAACGCAAGTTAGCAGCTAACATTGCCACTACAATTTTACAGAAGCATAAAGCTGAACAAAATAGCAGTTAAAACAAATTGAAGCTCTGTTAAACTCCATGACAATCCTTCCTCCTGTCCTACTCCCTGTCCAAATCCTTGTCCTGCTCCTTCCCTAATGTCTATTTTACAGTAAAGAGGTTAAGTGGATTTACATGATGCAAGCGCAACTCAAAAGACTTTTGCCCTATACATATAACCATGTTAAACTGTGAATTATACATGTGATAGATCTCTAACAGAGCAACCACCAGTTTTTTTAAAGAAACACAAATATTTCAGCATGTACAGTAATGAATTTAAAACTGTCCAACATCGTCGCTTTCATACATTCTCTTCCTCTTTATAGCAGTAACGGGATTTTAGACCTTGATGGCGACAATCCCAAACAAGAGTAAAATGAATTCATTTTATTGCAAACAAACGTCTAGAGTTAAACTTCTCCACCCACTTTCTTTAAAGAGAAAAGGAATCAGCAGGCTAAGGAGATACACCCATTTGAGAATTGACATGATTAAAAATTAAGATATAAAATGGGTGACTCACAGTTTCATTAGCTTACAAAATGGTGGAGGTAACTACTACAAGCACACTAGGTATACAGTATTTTGTGGGGAAAGTTATACAGACACACAGCTAACTTCATATAGATCCCATTAGACAACTGGATTTACAACAAGTTTTGTTTAATAAGAAATGGGCAAAGCCAGCTTCTTTTCAGAATCAAAATGCAGAACAAATGGAAAAAAAAATTATGGTGTTGTACCTTCACAAGTTTGAGCCTCCACAAATAAAGCAACCGAGTTTTACAACTTTAAGAGCTTCTACGTACACTCCACCATCACTATTTAGCCCCAGGTTTCCTCTTTGCCCCCGACATCTCATTGAGTTCCAAATGTTACAAAAAAGTCCTAGTTATTGCCAGAAACTTTTGCCTCCCGCTCCTCCCCTCCCCACCCAAGAGCTTCATAGAGAGGATGGAGTGTAATAGGGAGCTTTACATAATCTCATGGTATTTGCGGGCTACTAAGATGCCTCCATACGAATCTGGTTGCTAACATTTCATCATATTGTGACATGACTCACGACTGTTTCTTAGAAATTGGGGGATGGGGAAAAAGGAGAAAATTCTTTAATAAAAAGACACCAGGTACAAAGCAACGTTTTACTTTTGTTGTGGTAAAAAAAAAGTCACATTTTACAGATAAAATGTAGAACCCTGAAATACTGACACATTCTCTTTTCGTGCACAATGCTGAGGTTCTCTTACGAATCACTTTAAAACTGCAATTAAAAATGTACAAAAAAAGAAAAGAAAAAATCAACCCACAAAGCTTCTAAAAAAGGAACCCGCAGGCACTTCCTCTTGTGGAATGTTTAAAAAGTTAGCCTACTAAAGAAAACAGTCGACTTCTTGTGAAGGTTTTGGAGAAATATGTATCAGTTCATTTATTTGGGTATTCAATAATATCCTTGGTGATAATGCTGACTCCATGGCTTCTGACCCCAGAATTGCTGCAATAGATTAATAAATAGTTAGTTTTAACCTGCAATCACATAACAGTTAAGTTTCTTACTTGGGGAAAAAAAAAAAAAAAAAAAAAGAGAGAAAAGCATTTAACAAACATCCCCTGGAACTTGACAAGATTAAAGTCCTCTCCAATAGCAGCAAGCTCCTGAACAACTGAAGGCAGTTAAAAGTTCACTTCACAGCAGTAACGTGAAGCCAAGTACTTACATACCATTAAGAACGTTAAGCCACAGCTGGTATTTGATATATCAAGACCATCAAGGCAGATTAAGTTTTGCACAGGAAGCTATTTATAGTGATATTACCTAGCATTAGAACATTTTGCTATCCACTTTTGACTATGCATCTCATTATTTTAGTCAGCACTTTGCAATATTCAAGTTAACAATCAGTAAAAAGGTAAAGCTGGGACTACTTACACCCTGCTGCCACTGGTTGTAGCCCTGAGATTGGTTTTTGTAGCCACGATTATTTCCCCTTCCTCTGAAGTTCTGCAAGAGAACAACAGTTTTTAACTACTTTGTCTGCATGCATTTTTTAGCAGTGTCCTAATACCAATCTTCATTACCACCAAAACATCACACACCAAATAGAAGCACCAGCCCCAGGTTAATAGAAAAACACACCACCAAAAAATCCCTCCCTGAAAAACACTGGAATACCAAAAGCCTCCTTCCTCCCCTCTAAGCAACTGCTTTTTAAGCATAGGGGAAGAACCTCAGAATTAATAAAACAGCTTGAAGTGCTGTTGCCTGGTCTGGAAAGCTGGCTAATCCAGTTTTGACTCACCCTATTTCCAGCTGCTAAATGCACCAGGACAACTAAAAATACAAGAGCTTGTCTATTTTTAGTTAGGAAAGGCTGTAGTTGCGACAAGGATATGTTATCTGATCAGACAAAAGGATATGGGTCACACAACTGAAAATAGATGAGCTAGCCCACAAAACTTCAACAGAAGTTATGGTACAACAAAGGGACATTGATACAAGTAGATAAAATTTTGCTTTTCCCCTATTTGACAGTATTAGGCAAACCTGAGCCATGTTTACTGGCTTGGGCTCCATCTGCTGGCTCTTCAGTAATCTCTATTTTGTTTTTCCAATACTTCCACCGATATTCCATCAGGTAAGATCTAGGCTAGTGTGTCTTTACTAGTTGTATTTGATACCAGACACCAAAACAAAGACTCCGTGCAGAGCTATTTTCAGAAAGTTCTCTACATGTTTGATAAAAATACACTTTAATCCTCAGGCCAAACAACAGTTACTGTTACTGGGGAAGAGGAAGAAAAACACAAAAAACTGGAGACCAGCCTTCACACACATGCACTAAAAGTCTTCATTTTTAGCAGGACAGAGAGAGGTATAGCCCTAACATGAGCCCCCTGGATCAGCAGTTGTTACACAACATTCAGAGCCCTGGGCACATGCGCTAAACTAGAAAGGCCTTGCAGCATGGCATCAGTGTAGCACCACAACCAAGTCTGTGACTCCTCACAGGCACCAGAGCTGTCATCAACATCCCGAGTACTGCAGTTCAACTAGTCAGTCCCCCCTCAAAGCATCACCTGGTTGTAGTTTCCCCTGTTGGGCATTCCACCTCTGTTATAGTTTCCTCTGTTTGAGTAGCCACCTCTGCTTGGAAAGACAGGGCCACGAGGATAGGGGTAGCCAATTGCTCCGCTGCTGCCACCGCCACCACCGCCACCTCCACCACCTCGCTGAGGCATGTTGCCTCCCCTCCTGTTGTATCCACCACGATTGCCAGGGACTGCAAGGGAGAGAGTTATTTTAATCAAGTAATTGTTAGGTCTTACATATTTGCTACACAAAGATGAACAGTGCAGTCTAAGGTCTGACGAGCCTCTCATTTAAGCTGGACAATTAACTATTCATTAAAACGTTAAACTTATTGAAATTGAGATCAAGGTTCCCACTATATAATAATTGCAATGCAAGTACTACAACTTTTTCCCCAGCAGCAGAAACCGCCAGAAGTCACAGATTTATTTCTAGGCTCACCTCCTCCTCTGAAGTTGCCCCGCATGTTGAATCCTCCACGTCCTCTCTGACCCCTATTAAATTGATTTTTATTGCTCTTCTTGTTCTTCTTTGAGCCAGTGTTCTGTTTCTTTTCTGGCGGAAGAGCTTTCTTACTTTCTTCTTTATACTGTTCCAAAAGCTTCTGAGCTTCTTCTTTTTGCAACTCTACATAGATTATTTCATCAAAACATTCTGCTACCTCTGGCAGTGTGAAGTTCCCTATAATTGCAAAAACACTGAGTATTCAGCATCTACATTCAGCTATAATCAAAGCTGCAATTTAACCACCTTTCCCCCATTCTTCCTCCCACCCTCTGCATCCCCTCAGCATATGGACAAAATTACATAATCTGAGCATTTAGGAAACGTAACAGTGACAAAGGAAATAAACAGGTCTTCATGGAGTTGCCAGTACTGTTCCAAACCTCGAAAACATTCTGCCTATCTTTTTTTTCTTTTATAAGCCTCCACTCAGAACACCAGTTTCTGCCAAATATGTCACGTATATAGGGCACTTTATGCCAAGACAGCTTTGTGCATCTGCATGAAGCGTATCACCGTAACTGAGTAGTGTTAAGGACTGCAGCAGAGGGAACACAATATAGTGTTATCCTACCAAGTTACAATAGTCTTCCAGTTTTGTATAAGTACAACTGTTTAAGATAAAGTGGATTTTTAGACTTCACGTTTACTTAATCCTTTAAACAGATACTCAGCATCCTAAAACACAGTATAGGATTATGTTCCATGCCTTTCATTTTGAGAACTGCATGCTCTGGAAGATCTTTTCCCTCCACCTCTGCCTTCTTTTGTGTTCTTTGCTTGTAGTCTTCATCTTTTGGGCAAACAACAACTGCTTTGCGCTGGAAGCCTGCAAACAGGCACATTTTTCTCCTCTGCGCAGCTGCAGACACATTTGTCTGAAAAAAATGCAGTAACTTACTACACGTAGCTGTCATTGTAAGAGTTAAGGAAGTCAACTTAAGGTGTATAGACTTCACCTCTACAAGAGCTTGCAATGAAGTTTACAAATAACTGGACATAAAGATGCTGCATAATGCAAAGTTACAGCTTGTATCAATGTGTTAAAACACTTCCTCCCACATCCCATAAATCTAGAGAAGTTCAGACAAGCATTTGTAGTAATATCTCAACTTTGTGTCCCCTGAATGAGTAGTAAGTCAGTAACTGAAACAACTGCTATTATAATATAACTTTAATCCCAATTAATTACTACAATACAGCCTATAAAAAAATTCCTTAACCGTTTTTCACTGAAGCTTCTACCTGATCCAAAATGAAATTCCGCTTCTTACGAGCTGCAATCTCAATGAACTTTCCAAGACACTGTGGAGCTCTCTGCAACAGTGTGTTAAGCTTTCCAGTGTCTGCCATCTGACGCTTAAAACCTGCAACCTAGGGAGAAATTTCCCAGCGTTAGTCAGTGTAGTCCTGATATATGTGGCTGACGTTCTTTGCTAAATGCTTTCCACCACACTTCAAGGGTTGTTCAATTCAAGGCCACAACTGCTGCAAACTCTTAACTGAAATTCTCAACCCTCCAAAGAATGTAAGAGATTTATAAACAAAGACTCCACAAGAATTGGTACCATTCAGTTCAAGGTACACTCATCACAATACTAATTCCAGCTCTGAGAATAGTGATGTATAGAGAAGTAGAAATACATTCAATAGTCAACAACAGCCGACTATTTCTTCCATTTTACCACAAAAAGCTTCTGAATCTTGCCATGTGTGAATTAGCAGATCAGCAAGGTAATAAAATCTTTACACAGAACCATTAGGTTGGGAAAGACCTTGGAGATCACTGAGTCCACCTAACACCACCTTATCAACCAGACCGTGGCACTAAGGGCCACAGCCACTCTTTTCTTCAATACAAATGGTCACTAGCTAAGTAGTAGCCAGCTTCATTAAACAAAATAACCCCACAGCAACCAAAGACCATGGATTTACAGCGTTTCCAACAGACAAAGAAATAAAATGTCTTACCACTTACCATCATTTTGTCCATAATAGTATTTGTCCCAAGAATATTGTATTTTCCAGGATTTGCTGCTGCATGTTTGGTAACCCATGTAGTCTTGCCAGCTCCTGGCAAGCCAATCATCATCACCACCTATGAAAAAAAAGTTCTGTATTTGAGATACTAGTTCAAAGATTTTCTTTAATACACAACTTAGCCCAGCAAGCCTAATGGATATTGAGGGGGGATGTGGGGGTCTTGGGAGTGGGGAACGTAGTGGTAGTAAGTAGGTCATAAGATATCAAGTATTAAAGCTCCCAAACAAAAATGTCAGAGTGAGATGGAACAGTCTCCTTAACTCTAACCATTTCCATCCATGTGCTTTAACAACTTTTGAGATCATCAGAAGAAACTTACTTCACAATCTTTCTTTTGCTCGGGACCCTTTGGTCCCCGGACCCTATCCTCCAGGGGGACCTTCTGGATGAAGGTGTACTCTTCAGGTACAGGGAAGTAGGGTTCCTCCTTCTGACCAAAGTTGAACTCAACTGCACAGTTATGGCAGAGAACATGCGGAAAGAGTGGTCGCCCATCAAGAACTTCCTTGCTTATTTTGAATGCAACACCAAGCTCTTGTCCATTCTTGGAATATGAGAGTTCCACTTCATCACCATCAAAATTCTGTTTTTCAGACAAAGCATTATTTTGGATAAAATTAACTCACTTTATACAGTTAATGAGTCACTTCACTCTACTGGCTATGTTCACTCAACTTCTGTAACTGTTACTTCATAAAGGAACTAAACCTAATTTTCTCTTCTAATGAGTCACTGTCAATGATAATTTTGTTCAAGATCTGATTTTTTGTTAAAAGGCTTTTAAAGACATTTGTCCGTGAATATAAAATTATGTTGCCAGCAGTCACTGTTAGTAACAGCTGCTGCTTCTATTGCCTATGTCAAACAACTTGTCTTGCTCCCGTGATTTTATGTATTTGCTTTACCACTTCTAACATCAAAGCAGTCTAAAAATTCAAGGATGTTTTCCCTCAAAAGAAAATATAAGTGAAAACTTACAGCAAAACAGCCAATCACATCATTTTCATCAAACTTCTCACCAAAGTCTTCAGTCTCACAATTGCATGTCTTTATTCCTTTTAGAGAATAACCGTAAGAAAATTCTTCTTCACCTGAAGGACAAATTTAACCTAATTACAAATGGGCTTTTCCATCTAACCTTTTAGACATAAATCACCTTACAGCTACTTAAATAAGCTGCTGTTCAGAGTATTTTTATTAATGCCAAAACAAGCTATGATGCCCCCCAACAGCTATACAAGCTCATTCTTCTATTCAATACTTTCACTTGAAATAGAACAGCAGTGTTTCCTCATCCCTGTTTAAAAGCTTTATGCTGCTGGTTCCAGATTTATGCTGACAATAAAAGCTGAACTGTCAGATAAAGACATGAACAAGTATTTTAAACTGTGAAGACCTGATTATGCACTGGTATACCTGCTGTAACGTAGTCAGAAAGGCTTTCTGAAGTTTAGTCTCCAGGAGCACTTACCCCTCCCATTTTAAAGGGAGTTTAGCAGACAGTCAGCCTATGCAACAGCTGAGGATGAAGCTGCAAGGAACAAGCTAACAGGAAGTGTCAAACACAAGGACTTAGGTGTAATTTAAATAGAAAGCTGTTGCTGATGTCAGAACATACCAACTCACCAATATTTCCCCCAAATATGTGTTTCAGCAATAAGTTATAAATATTATTATAATCATTTGTCCTATATATAACGAAGTTGTACTTTGTTTCCAGCTATTTTCAGAAACTAAGATTTTCCCACCAAGCAAAAAAAAAAAAAAAAAAAAAAAAAAAAAAAAAAAAAAAAAGAATGTAGTTACCATGAGTTAAATTTTATACCATGCACCACCCCTTAAAAGTGGAGAGAAGGGCAACTCCCCCTTTTCTACTTTTGACACTACATGACAAAGACAAATCCTTTATTTTATCAGATTATTTAACAATGTTGTCCATAACCCATAGATAATAACTGGAAGAATTAAGTGCTAAATTATGGCCCTAACCCTTATAGGTCTGAATACTTTATGACTTTATTAGGTCCTAGTAATGAACTTTCTCACACCACGTCCAGAGAATGACTCAAATTAAGACCACTTTTCACAACACAGACTACAGCCACTAAGCTTGTTCCCCCTGCTTCAGAAAAAAAAATTTAAAACTTAATCCACATCAACACAAAAGCAATTAAACATTTAAGTCTTACCAAGCAACATTCCACTTGTGTTCAGTGACCAGCCAACTCGCACTTCATGTATGTCAATATCTTTTGTATACAGGTGTTTAACAGGAATCTTTTCTGTAACCTATTTTTAAATTATTCAGGAAAAGGTAAGCAGTATTTATTACACACTAAGAAGATGGAAGAACAAAAGGTAACACTTTGAACCTTTACTTTGAACCCCACTTTGGTTAAATCTTTACTAAGTCTAAGTGATCACCTTCAGCAAAAATGAAACATGCTCAAGAATATGAAACTGCAATGAGTGACTGAACAGTTCCATCTCCTGACTTAGCAATGAAGATACCATAAATCTTCATCACTTTGTCACGGCAGTCCCTGTCAGTGGTCAAAAGCCTTAAATCCTTTTGACATTGTATCAAAATTACAAACAATACGAATATTTATTAAAAAAACCCGAGCTGCCATGAAGTTGGGATTAACAGTAAATTACTTAGCTAAGAAAATGTGCACTGTATGAAAAATCTGCTTCTTAGAGACTAGGGAAAGTATTACACTATCCCTTTTTCACTGTGAGCAGACTTCCTGGGCAAGCTGCCAGCTTCCAAACAACATAACCAGACTAAAAAAAGGCAACAAACAAAAACACCCCAGAAACCCCCAGAAAGCCACCTAAACACACTGGAATCTACATGCAACCAGCTGTTTTTTAACTGTCTTTAGAAACTTTACTAAAAGGAAGTGTAAAGCCCATCAGTATCCTATCAACCTCTGCAACTATTCCAGTCAGGTGACTGAGCTGAAACTCATTTGAAAGCAAACAGGACAGTAAGTAGTGACGTAAATTTCCCTTCACTGGCCTTCCAAAGTTACAGGTATCAACAGGCACAGAAATCACTCCATGCAAAAGTTTGGATGATGGGATCACTATCCAATTCTCATGGTAACAGTTACATTTGAAAGCACTAGAGGAGGAGAACAGATTAATACATACAGGCCCATCATACACAAAAAAGCCTTTAACACTGTTAAGTAAAAAAGGAATACGAAAAATAAATTCAAGCTTTTGTGATTTTGTTCCTCTTCCATCAACAAGCTGGAGAAATCAGTTTATTGGAAGGCTGATTGCCATTCTGACCCTTCAGGAGAACTCTTGCTCTCAAAATTCAACTACTTGCTAAATACTCACATTCAATGCATCATGTCAGAGTTAATGATGTTGAAAGGGACCTTTAGAGGTCATCCAGCCCAAATCCATGCCTACAGCAGAACAAACTCAAAGACTAAGCAGAACCAGAAAGGACTGTTGAGATAATTTATATCCCTTTAAAAAAAGAAGTCAAGCTTTCTGTAATTTTCAGAAAGCACAAGCATAGAGAGTATAAAAATACTCTCTATTTGTGTTGATGCATGAGATGACAAATACAATTAGTGATTAAAAAATAAGACCAAAAGTCTCACATTCAGAACTAATGTAGTGTTTTGTGGTTGTTTTTTTTTTTTTTAATTTCTGTTTTTTGTTTTTTTGTTAAATCAAAGTTCTTAAGAGAAAACAGTTTTGCAAACTGAGCTACCTTCTTTTAAGAGAAAACCATTTAAGGGTCCTGTTCACATCAATTAGTTTCAACCAAGTCCAAAAAAATGTGACAACTATAAATATAATATTTAAGCATGCAAAAGTGTCCCATAAACATTAACTCACCTTCATCTCAAAGCAGACTTTGCCTTTAGATACTCCATAGGAGGCTCTCCCTCCAGCCCAAAGGAAAGCAAAACTTTCCATGGTCAGAGAGGAAGCACTAAACCGGTCTCTTGAGATTTTAAAATGCAGGTCACAGTTATCTGTTAACATAAAAATCATTCTGTTTACTCTGATTACAAAATTAAATACAGGTGTCCAATTTTATGCATTAAAGATGATGCCAGCTTCTAAAGGTGATTTAACTGACAGAAGCAACATGTCTAGATGGAACTGCAGACTGAAGCTCAGCCAAAATCTTAGGAAAAGCTAGCTAACAAGTCATTTTCAAGGTGCCATCTTCACTTCTGTCACCCAAGTTCCCTCTATTTTCAACATCTGCTTAAAAACCCCTAAGTTCTATATTATCTGTTTGAATCCTCTGTCAGTTACCCCTTTCCATCAATACCGAGCCATCTGCATTGTGCTCTCCAGTACCCTCTAGAGACCTGATTCTGAAGCAGTCTCACTGCTCAAGACCAAAGCTAAGGGCTGCTAAAAAGTAAATGTGAAAACAAATGTTTTTATTTAAGTACTGAACGTAGTCTTTGGTTAATACAGTCAATTAGCAAGTCAAATTAGATTATGTCTATTAAAATAAAGGCAGTTAAATCAGGGGCAGATATGCTAAGTGCAGAGAGTGTGCTAAGAGAGCCTACTTCAGCCCAAAAACATGACCTACACACTGAATTCACCTATCACTCCAAGAACCTAAGCAGAACCTTGGTTTTACAAGCACCTTCAGAGCTGCACACCCTGACATTGCAAATGAATCTCCCAGGAGCTTTCAGAAAAACAATGCCAAATGGTAACAAGAGGTGCAGCATGCAACACTTGAATTCCCCAGAGCTCGGAATCCACAGAAGCAGCTCCAACCTACCTGGTGGTTACAAGAAAGGAGCAAAATGAGCAAACAGGGAGGAATTCTGCTCTGGTATAAAACCTGCATGATGCCAGAATACACTAAAATGCAGCCTGCCCTGTACTACTGACAACGCTTACGCACAAGATTTTGTTTTGTTTGCATACAGCCATCCCAAATTTCAAAAATACTATTAGTGATCCAAGTGTCTTCTGATCAGTACTGGTAACTCTTATTTACTGAAAAGCAGATAAAATCACACATTAGAAACCCACCTTTGCAGGCTACCTTTAGAATGGGAGATGAGAACAGAATGTGAAATTACAGCTTTGTAAGACACTGGTAATAAAAAGCACTTAAGAGTGGCTAAACCTCTTACACGTCTGGATCACTATCCAGAAGAGAGAGTGCCAATTTGTTACACAATTCAGCCTTACAGCTGTGTTTGAATCTTATCTCTAAAGAGTCTGCCAACACTTTAAATCACAATTTGTCCAGTAACAATATTTTCCGCTAGAAAATACTATTATTACTAGAACAGTAATAATGAAAAGTAGTTATTTACTCAGCTATTGGAAGCATCCAAAGCTCCCACAGAAGTGGCTACTCACCACGTTAGCAGCTAGAAACTTGAGACTTAGTTAGCAAAATGTCAGGGATGGCATATCCAGCAATTTACGTGACTGTAAACTAATACCTCCTTCCATTTCAAACCATTTCTTGTGGATAAAACCACCTGAAACTTCTAACAAATATACCAGACAATGCCAAAAGTTAAGCTTTCCTTCCATGGCACTGTAAGAATCCAACAAGTTCAAGCATTACTTCAAGATCAAGTGTTCTAATATTGCACTGAGTCCTTATACTTACCCTCAAGAACATAAATGTCAACTCTGCCATAATGATATGTTACAGTAAAAATGATGTTTATGATCTGCCTCAAAAAAAACCTGTTTGCAGATACTTCTCAATTCCTATGCTCTGCTGACCAAGTCTCTCTGCCACCCCCCTTGCACAAACCACCAAAGCCCAAACACTCACAGGTTACATTAATGGGTCATTTCTGAGGAGGCATTACCAGATTTTGTTAAATTTATTGGAAGATCGAACACTCCACTGGTCAGTACCTAAATAGGGGAACTTATGCAGGAAGCTTACTCCCCAAACTGTACTTTGTAAGCACTTAGGCTGTTGACTCTCTGAGCTTTCTGGGCCATAGTGCTGGACAGCTGTTTCATCAAGCTGTCTGCAGGGTGTTTATGTGCACTCTACACTTACCCACCTAAGCTTCCATACCAGATTAGTGTTTTGGTTAAGATGTCTTCACAGAACCATCTATCAGTACAGAATTCACAGGAAAACCAAGCTCATTACTGCTAACATTCTCATATCCTTCTGTTCTTTTGTTTGCTAAAAATGGATGGAAATACAGTATTTTTCTAATTTTTTTAGTTACCTGAAAACCAATAAATGTTATCCTCCCCGTCTCAGAAAGTGTGGCATTAAGATTAGAAGCCTTAACACCACATCTTTCCAGAGCAAAGGAAAGCATGTTTACTCACAAGTATCAAGACAAACCACTGTGTCATCAAAATGTTCATCTTCTTCTTCAACAGGTGGTTGAGGGGACTTGGCCCTAAAAAAACAAAACCAAACAAAACATAATAAAGCTACATGTATTTTCACAAAATTAAAACACCTCTGTTTTAATTTTCCTTTCCTCCTTATCACAAATGCTGCCCAGCACCAATTCTGTTTACCTGCTATACTTGTTTTCCTCAATGTACTCAAAGTATCCCCGACCATGATCTTCACGTGGTCTCTTTACTCCCCTCTTCTTCTCACCAGGCTTTTGCTCCGTTTTACCATCTCCTGTAACAGAAATAATGATTTATTTTGACTATTTAAAGTTTTAGTTTGTTTCGGAATAAAAATCTATATCATGGTTTCGACTTTGCAAACTGCATACAGCGCAAGATAAGCAGTAACATCTTAACAAGAAATTTTACTATGTTACTAAGATATGTTGAATTTTCACGGGAAACTCAAAACTCGTTGCCACCCAGAAATGATTTAGCACACGGAAGTCGCCAATACACCACACAGCAGCCAGTAGGGCTCTCAATGTTATGAGCCCCATTGAAACCACCCCGAAAAAAAAAAAAAGGAAAAAAAAAAAAAAAAAGAAGAAAAAAAAAAGAAAAAAAGAAAAAAAACCCCTAAAATGATAAAAAACTGTCCTGACCCGCCGCGCCTCCAGACCCGCAACACCATCACCACCCGCCCACCACGGAGGCAGCGGGACACTGCCAGCCGCTCGCAAGGGCACCGTGCGATCCGCACGACTGCGCCTCCTCCCGGCGGGCCGCGGGCGGGAGCCCCAGGGAAGGGATTCCTCCTCCTCCTCCCGCCTCCATTGTACCGCCAGGCCTTCCCAGCGCCATCCCGTGCGGCGGCGGCGCCCAGCCCGGAAGTGACGTCAGGCGCGCCCCGCGCTGCTCGGCGCACAATGCACAGCGCGCCCCAGCGGCCCCTCCGCCGCCCCTCCTCCCGCACCCCGGCGGGGGGGCTGGCATTAATGGGCCCCCACCCCGCTTCCCGCCGCCACGCTCACTCACCCCCGGCGCCCTGCGCCCCGGGGCGGCCGCCTCCGCCGCCGCCTTCCGCTTTCTTCTGCTGCTGCTGCTGCTTGGCAGGGCCCGCCGGGCCAGAGGCAGCGGCGGGCCCCGAGGCGCCCCCAGCGCTCTTGCCGGGAGCCTCCTTGGCGGCAGCGGCGCTGCGCGGCGGGAGGAGCGGAGGGGGCTGCTGCGGCTGCTGGGGCTGCGGCGGCTGCTGGTCACCGTGGCCGTTGGCGTCTCCGGCCGCGGCCTCCTCCTCGTCGGCCAACTCGTCCTCCCCCTCTTGGAAACCCTGGTCGTCGCCGTTCTCATCCTCCTCCTCCTCCTCTTCCTCCTCCTCGCCGCCCGCCTCCTCCTCCATGGGGCCGCCCCCGGCCCCTGCCCGCTCGCCGTTCTCCTCGCCCAGCTCCATGGCGTCGCCATCGGCGGCCTCCAGCCCTTCCTCGTCGTCGTCCTCCATGGCGGAGGCCGCGGCCTGGCCGGGGCCTCCCCCCTGGCGGAGCTGCGCGGCGCCCCCGCCGCTCTCGGCCGCCTCCCCCTCCACGCTGCCGTTGCCGGGCTCGGCCGCGCCGCTGGCGGGGCCGCCCCCGCCGGCCTCCTCCTGGTCTAGCGCGGCCTGGAGCCGCTCCATGAGCTCAGCCTTAAGGCCCTTGTCGGAGAGGCGCCGCTTTTTCAGCTCCTCCTTCAGCTCCGACACCTTCAGCTTCTTCACGTTCACGGGCGAGCAGCTCATGGCGGCGGCGGCGGCGGCACTGGCGGCTCGGTCCCTGGGCGGCGCGCGGGCGGCGGCGAGCAGGGACAGACGGGCGGCTCTGGCTCTGCGTGCGGTGTGTCAGTGCCCCGGCGGGCGGTGGGTGCGGGCGGGAGGCGCGGTGGGTTCGTGCGGCTGCGGGAGCTGCGGAGCCGGACCCGCCTGGCGCCAAATCCTTTCACCGCGAGCTCGCGAGGGAGACGCGCCTCGCGGGGCCGCGCACGCACCGGCGCCGCGCGCGCGCCGCCCCGCCCCCGCGCACGTAGGCCCTCCCGCGCTACCGTAACGACCGCATTACCGTAAATGCCCGCCCGAGCGCAGCGCACCCCGCCGCCCTTGTCCTGCCGGGTTCCTTGGCGGCGGCGGCCGATGGGCCGATACACCGCTCCGGCACAAAGAACCCGCTCCGGGCTGCGAGGCACCCCCGTGCCAGCTCCCGCCCGCGTGAAGCCACAGCCCGACCGAAATGCACCCCCTCAGCAGGGGCTCGCATTCCAGCCGCAGCCTCGCAGCACCCTGTCCTCATTCCCCTGGCTCCTCTGCGCCCACGTCGGGCCTAGTCCCGCACGGTTTATTGCGTTCAGGCTTTGAAAAAGGGCACTGCTGCTCCAGACAGTTCCCCTGGCACAGCCCTGCTAACGCAGTTACGTAAGGGCAGGAGCGGGGCTGCCCCGATCCCGCAGCACCGGGAGGCAGGCACGGCGCTGAGCCTTAACCAGAGCCGGCGGTAACAAAGGTTCTCCAGTGCATGGACTCCTAATCTGGAGCTCGGCACGGGGCTAAGCCGCTCACCAAAACTGCGCAGCTTTCCCTCTTCTCTTCCCCCTGCCTTCCTCTCTGCACAGCGTTAATATGGGGCTCTCCCCAGCCGCACAAGTTGTACAGTCATCGAATTTTAGATGTTTCCAATTCGGTCAAAAGTAGCATGAAAACAAAGAGTGGAGAGGATTTCACGTGAGCAGAGAGGCTGCACAGATCTACAAGTCGGCTTCCTTAGGGAGCCCAGATGAAAAGCCAATTTTCAATTGCAGGAAAAGAAATGCGAGTCAAACCGCCAGAGGATCAGTGTGAAGTGCAACAGAAGGGAAGGTGCATTTGCCACCAAGTTGCCTTTTGCTGGTACAGATTGCGTGGCCTCCTGAACCAGAACAAATTGCATTTGCCTGCCCCAGAGGAAGGGAAGAGAGACAAGGAAGTCATCCCGTGTTAAGTGCTCAAGGAAAGGGCTCTTTCACACACGTACACACACACCGCTCTATCCTCAGTCAGGCTATGTCTACCTGGAGAAAACTCGACTCGGTCGGCAAGGTTAGCTGAACCCAGCACTACACAACAGCTTGTTGGAACAGATTCAGGAAGAGATGCAATGTGTACAGATGAGAAAAAAGTTGCCAGAACCTTTCCCTTACTTTAAGGTCAAGTTAGTAGATTTTATTTCAGTCCAGTAAGTCAGAGTCACCTCAACAGCAGAAGAAAAGGGTAAGAGTACAATGCAAAGGAGAGGTCAGTGTCTGATTAAGCTGTACCACTCTAAATCACTGCCTTTGTCCATTTCTTCATGAAAGAACAATCTTAGCTAGTCTGCTGAGGGACTCCTGACATATACTCTTCTGCCAAAGTGACAACAAAATTAAACTAGTTAATATTGCAATATTACTGACTGAAACTTACAGATAATTCTTCATTCATTTGGATGGCATTTGCCTATCCAACTCTCTTTTTTTGTTTGTTTGTTTTTGTGTTTGTTTTGCTTTTGTATGTAAACAAATTTAAACAGAAAATACATCAATGACTGTGTATTATCTGAACATCAGTGAGAGCCCTGTGTTTAGACCTTGATCTTGCACAGGGCTTTTCACATGTTGAGTCATACTTCTGGAAGAGTTTAATCAACCCCGATGTCTGATAATCCCTCCCACCACTGCAAACTTTATGGATTGATAGATTCTTTTAGGCCAGCTTTGTATCCCTAAGCCTTGCCTTAAATGAGCACATCTGCACATACTGACAGTGCCTCTGTGCTGGAACACACCCTCATTCAGAATCACCTGAGAGCTGCAGTCATTACATGTAATCCCATTCCTAAACGATGTAATGTCTCCTTACTTCAGTAACATGCTCATACTGCTTTATACTCCTGTTACCATGGAGAAACAAAACAGCTAACAGCTTTGAGGCACATGGAGAGATTCCTGACCCTAAAGCATCCAAGCCTGTATATAAAGGCACAAGTAGATAAAGTAAAAATAATTTCCCCCCCCCCCCCCCCCTTGAAATTTAGCACTATTAACTTGAGGCATTTTTAAAAGTTACTACAGCTGTCTATTTATTAAACCACTTAGAAGGATAAACTTATTATTTTTAAAGGAGATTAACTCATACCATCATAATAAGAGTAATGCTTACTATCTAACCACACACTTAATTACACTACTAAAGAGGTGTAGCAAGACTTTTCAGACTACAGTTATGTTACCTGTTATTACAGAAGTCAGAAATCCCAGTTGATTTTCAGATCTGGTCAGGTGATTCAATTGTAAATAATAAATAAATAGTTGTAAATAATCAAACAGCTAAGTAAATAAAACACACACATAACTGAAATAGATGTGTAACTTTAATGACTGCCTCAAAGTGTTAAATAAAAGTGCTTTTCTATATGTAAGTTATATACATATTTATTACACATCTGTCCCTGGGAAAAATCTCTCTTAAGATACTCCCCTGTCCTCTTTAAGTCCTATGTTTCAGGAGTTTTTCTTTCCCTTATTCATACTTTGAAGGACAAAAATAGGTTAAGGATGTATGCTTTCCTTGTTGCTGTACCCTCTTTTACTTGAGTTCACTGAGTGAATTCTTCAGCTCTGCTTTTCATTGAACATGCAGATAGATGCCAGCCACATCAAAAATGAGTGTTTGGTAATGCAACATCCTGAAATAGGGTAACACTAAAGAAAAGCACTTTAAGCTGTAATGTGCAAAGCTGCTACTTGTATGATGATGGCCATGTGAAAAACAAAACATAATTGCTGGTAACCAAAATACTCCTCTATTAAAATTGCCTTTTTTGGTCTCAAAATATATTGAAACTTAATCTTCCTTTCTATTTAAATGAAAAGTGACATGCACCCATATATAAAAGATGCAATTCTGTGCACTTTTTAATCAATCATACAGCATTTTTCTCCTATCTGTGATACTTCCTAACCTAAACTGTTTTTTTCTCCAAACCAGTCTTCTCTCTCAAAAGTAATTTCCAAGTCTTCTGGGGCTGGGCCCTTCAACAGATCAGCTTTACTCTTTAAGCTTCTTCAACACATCTTTCTTCTTTCCCTCATAAAATGCTCTTGCCAAAAAATAAAAGTCACCACACACTTTTTGTGGCACCAGAGTGTTGCTAGCTCTTAGACCATCTCCTCTGTCCACTCAATTCACAAAAAAGTGAACAGATTGGGAAGGCCATGCTAAAAAACCCACATAAACCTCCTAGAATTTTTAAGAATATTTTATGGTAACTGAAGGTACTACCACAGCATGCCTTAAATCTGTGATAGGCAAAGCTGACTAAGTGAACTATTTTAAAATATTCATTAATACGTGTTAGAATGCGTTCAAGATGGCCACTTCTGTGTGACACACAGCTGGAGCCCAGATAGGTAGAGAGACCCCGAGTAGCTTTCCCTGTTTAGGCACTGCCCTGGCAATCCTACAAGGCAGCTGTTACAAAATCCTGAGGTCTGCTAAGCAGACTCCAAAGCACCACAAAGTATCTTGGAGAGTACAAAACTGCTTTTCCTCAGTCTTGGTTGCAGATCTCTTGGCTTTTACCTTTGGAAGCAGTATCCCAAGCCCAGCTACTTTTCTTTTAGTCCCAAATGAAGTCAGCTCAAAAAAGAAAAGGAAAGCTTAACTTTAAGACTGAACACTATATAATTTTTAAAAGGGGGATAAAGAAATGAGGTCAGAGGTTTGCTCAGTTGATTCATTTTAGGAAACTGCATTAGTTGAGTTAACTTCACTGTAGAATGCTCTCTGGAAAGAAAGCCACTTTGTCATAGACTGCTCTTTAACCCACTCTGCTGGAGCAAATCTGCTCAGCCTTTCATTTTTTTTTCGGGCTGAGGGAAACCAGCATCATTTCATATGAAAGACTTAGAAACTCTTCTGACAACACACTAAAGCAACTGCTAGCAAATGACTACAGGTAATTTCCTAGGAAAGCATAAAAAAACCTCAGTGAGTCTCCTACAAACTCTCTGAGAACAATTATTTGACAATAAACAGCAGAAGAAAAGCACTGTCATGTAACCTTGCTGGTTCCACATCCATAGGCTAAGAATATTTCTGGGAGTGCACCCTGGCCAGAAGGCAGGCAGTCCTTGCAGCATGTATTGTGAATCACAACCAGGTATCCCCTCAGGTCATGATGTTCTGAAGGAACAGTGCCAGTAAAGTCAGGGAGGAGGGGAGTCAAAAATTTTCTAAGGGCTTTCTGCTGTAAAGTAGTTAATCCAAGAGTTAACAAGCTCCTAAACTATCCAATTGAGATTTTCTGATAGGAACATAGAGCTATTCTTTCAAATAACATCAGGCCAACACGTTTAGAGCAGTATCCTGAATTGTCAGTATTTGCAGTCCAAGGCTTTCTATCCTATAGCTTTTCCTGTGTCCCCAGACCCATGTGACTGCTGAGTTCATTACGGGGTCAGGGCCTCAATTAGATTCTGGATTTTATGACTTCTTTTTCATACAAAAGAAAATAGAACTGCCTGGCGGTTCCTCTATGAGACTAGGCATCTGCAGTTGTTTCTCCTGCTTCACATACCAGCAAAATAAGAGATCCTCAACAGCAAAAGTTAAGAAAGTAAGAATCAAGGTAAACACAGCATGCCTAGCTTAACAAATAACTGTTTTAACAATCCTGTTATCATAGACAGGACTGTGTTTCTGAAATAAGAGCTGTGTGACAACAGTGTGCTTGTCTATCATTTACAAACTTGAAAAAATTACGACCAAAAGTATAATTAAAAAGGAGTGAAAACAGACATGCACTTCAAGCACAAATCTCACACCTTCAAAACAGAGAAGAGGCAGATTGTCCACAATATCTAGAAAGACTTTTTTTATCACCAGTATGTTCCACATGGGAAAGTCTCAGATACTCTAGTAAAAAAAAACAAAACCAAAATAATCACAAAACACT